TCTGTCTCTACAAAACCCATTTCAAAGGAACTACACCTAGTAAACATTATCCACACCTCAATACACTTTGACTACTGCCATATCCTGTAAGCAGACCTACCCTTGAAATATATTCTGAGACTGCAAATGATGAAATATGTGCTAGCAAGGCTACTTATGGGGATCATGTGATGCTTCTTCTGAAGATCAGAATTAGCTTCTAGTGGCCTTCAGAATATTGGTATTGACCCATTAGTTCACATAGCACTCACTGGAAGCTTCTCCAAGATCAGGAAAGGTTTCTGTTGTGTTCAGAATATTGGTATTGACCCATAAAGCTCTTAATGCCTTTGGGATTAACCATCCATAGATCTGCCTTTCCTGCTATGAATTTTCCTGGATACTAAAATCCGCAGGAGAAGAGGCCTTCATTTCAAAAGTGAAGATCATCTTTCAATTAGGAACTTGTCTATGTGGTATGCGGGGAAAGTTTGCCTGGCTTCTAGGTTGTAGAAGATCTAATTTGTCGCTGTTAATGTTGTTTTAATTTATTTTTGTTTTTCTTTTCATTTGGATTTTTTATTTTATTTAATAAGTTGGATGTGTTTGTCATAGCTCCAAACCTTGATGCTTAAAACAGAAACACAATAAAGGAAAAATAAAAAAAAAGACAAAATTTATTAGGTCAGTTTTGGGAGCACGTAAATGTCAACAGTTCCATTTATGATTAATAACTTAATTGTGAACCTTCGCATCTGCATGAAAGGGGTGTGTGTGACCAGAGTGAGGGAAAAAGAGGGATGGTGTCTTGATCTGATTATTATGTTAACTTATATCTTCGGAGAGTTACTGGTTTCATTTAGTCACATTCCTTTGATCGGATGCACCAAAACCCTCTGCTGGAGTGAAAATAACACCCCAACCATCCTTCTGTCCCTCTGCACAGGACCACTGGTGATATTAAAGAAGGGATGTTTGTGTATTTCCCCAGGGGGGTCGGTAGCCACCCTCAAAGGCCAAGCGCTCTCTCTAGGGAAAAGCTGAGGACTCCCGGTTTTGTACACTCCTTTCCCTGATGACTAATTGGGTTACCTCTCCCCTCCTCCCCCCCCCCCCCCCCCCGTTGCCTGCTCACATTTTGAACTGCCGACGCTTTCCTGCCCATGCTCAGCCTGCTTCCCCGGGGTTTTCCCCCCTCCCTTCTCTCTGATGCTGCGGGGAGGAGGGAGAACCCCCTGGCTGCTGGCTGGCTGGTTGGCACACGCCGAGTGGCAGCAATGCTCAACCCTGCCCGCCTTTAAAAGGCAGCTTCGGCGGGTGTGGAAAGCAGGGCAGTTTGAGCAGGTGAGGCAATTCGGGGCTGCTGGTTACCGTCAAAGGGAGGAGGGGAGGGGGGGCGTCGTGTCCCTTTAAGAGATGCGAGACTTTCACCGAACCGGGGATATATTAAAACAGACAATCGGCACCGGGTATTGCCAGGCTGGGCTTTAGCCTACGGTACATGGTCTGCTTTTACTCAGGCGCGGAGTACCTTGGAGAGCGAGCGATTGAGCGATTGTCATTCCACGGCCGCCGCTCTTCCAGCAGAAGTGTCCGGGGAAGCCACGAATTATCTCCAGATCGCTCCAAAGGTCCAGCATCAAGCAGAAGGGCGACGAGCGGCTCGGGAGAGCGATTGAAAGGTGAAAATGACGGGGATTTTCCGTCTCACCATCCTTGGCTACTTTTATGACAGCCTGTGAGAGACCCGGAGCAGAGAAAAGCCAGCTTAGATGTCTTTCTAACAGTTGGACGGAGGAATCCGGCCAGCGAGACTGTGGTGGGGCGCGGGAGAGAGAGAGAGAGACAGACGCCGATCAGCCCATCCGAGACGCCTGGGGTTGCCTTGGTCTTCAGGAGAAGACATCCCAAGGAAGAGGAGAGAGAGAAAAGAAAAGACCATTCTTTTGCTTGCCCCGGGGGCCGAAGCGGATTTCTATCGCCTCCCACCCCGACACTGTGGTCCATCCAAATGGATTTGAAAAAGTGTTAAATCTTTCCAATGTATGCTTCCAGAGCGCTCTGCTTTGGCTTGCAGTACTCAGGTAAGGCAACCTTTCCGAGACTTCAAGACGCAGCCGAGCGCAAACAGGGGAAGAGCTCCCCCCCCCCCCCGTTAGCTTGGGAGGATTTCGGTGGAGTAGGAGAAACAAGCATCGGGCAGGTTTGGGAGGAGCCGAGGGAGGGAGAAGGCAAAGAACTGGGGCGATTTCCAGAAAATAAAAGTTCATTAAAATGACGAGCTTCCCCCCCACCCCCGTCTCCTCTCAAGATGGATGTTAGGAGGCTGAAACTGGAAGTGGGGGTAGATAAGGGAGGGGGGGGAAAAGGGGATTTAAATCCATGCGGAATCCATGCGGTTCAAAGATCATAGTAAGGTGAGAGAGGGGTTCAGAAGCTCTTTATGTTCCTCCTTCCCACCCCTTTCCCATTCTTCTTTTGCTCACGGCTTAGCTGGTGAAAAATAAAAATAAAAAAGTTCAGGTTGAATTAAGGCACTTGAAGGATGGAAGTCTCAGCTGAGGCTCGTCCTTTTCTTCTTGGATGTTTGTTGATGTCGTAAGCGAACCCCTCCCTTGCAAAGCAGGGAGGAAGACCGCTCTCTAAATCGATCTGCTTCTGCATGGGTTTGGATATGTGACGACTGTAGGATCGCAGGGTGCTTTGTTCTTGGGGGGAGGTGGGTAAAGAAGGAAGCAGAGAGAGAGAGAGAGAGAGGTGATGGGTCTTTCATTTGGAGTGAAGTGAAAGTCAGAGAGAGAGAGAGGGGGGAGGGAGAGGGAGAGAGAGAGAGAGAGAGAGAAAGAAAGAAAGAAAGAAAGAAAGAAAGAAAGAAAGAAAGAAAGAAAGA